AGTTTTTAAATTTCGTTCTACAGCGATTTCGCTGGAACGAATTAACGTCATTAAGCGAGGAACCACTGTATTTGCATAAATCATGCCTACCTAGAGATTCCACTGCTTTGGACACCTGATTGGAGCCACCTTGGTGCAAAAACTTATTTATTGACCGCAACAGAGGCTCCCGCAGCCCAACACGCTCATTTGGAGAGCAAAGATTCTCAGTCACGTCAGCCTCCACCTCCCCCTTTGATTTACGGGCTGCTCTTCCTTCCCCTCAGGTCTTCCAACGTCGGATGAATGGTGAAACTGATTTCTGGCGGGATTGGCAGGATTATGCCACTGGCTTTGGCAACCTCACCAGAGAATTTTGGCTTGGTACGTGCCTGTAGGAAGCTTTTCGTGTCTCCCTCTTGTCTCCCAAGGACAGGGGCCGGACTGGGGGACTGGGACTGAGAGCTCGTGGCAGGAGCCGAGGGAGGAAGACCTGAAGCCTCAGAAGTGACAGCTAATTACCCTGTCTTCCTTTTCCTGATGGCAAAGGGAGCAAACGATTAGATACGGAACATAGAATCATAGAACGATGGGAGTTGGAAGGGGCCCCTAAGGCCGTCAGGTCCAACCCCCTGCTCAAGGCAGGAATCCAGATCAAAGCTGATGGTGGTCCAATTTTCTCTTGAATGCCTCCAGCGTTGGAGCCCTCACCCCCTCCCGAAGTCATGGGTTCCGTTGTCGCACTGCTCTTACCAGTTTTTTCCTGGTATTCAGCCTAAATCTGGCTTCCTGTCTCCTGAGCCCATGGTTACGTGTCCTGAACTCTGGGATGATCAAGAACAGATCCTGACCCTCTGGTGTCTGGCAGTCTTTCAAGTCCTTGGAAAGGGCCATCAGATCTCTCCTCCTCTATAATATGGAACATGAAATTCTCTAGGAGCTGTTTTGTTTTTGCTTTGTTTACTGCAGAAGAAGGGCAGGGCATCTGAAATGGGTTATATTTAAACACCACCCCTATCCCTCCCATTGGGTTAATTAAAATAAAATAAAACAACCATTCCCAGCTTTACAAAACAGAAAGGATGAAAAAAAAAGATCCCATGGGTGGCAACGGCCCACCTCACAAGGTGGTGATTAGAAAACGACCTGTGCGAAGAGGTTTCAGCACGTAGAAGCAACGTATAGAAACTTGGGTTCCTGGAGTATTTCTATAGATGAGGGGGCCCGACAGGAAAGCCGAGGGACTCCACTGTCAGTGGCAAAGGAAGAGGGGCCATCACTTCTGAGTCATACCACACTCCGACTCTCTGCAGATGTATTTTCGAAGGCTTTCATGGTCAGGATCCGATGGTTGTTGTAGGTTTTTCGGGCTGTATGGCCATCTCCAGAACCTACAACCACCATCTCTGCAGATGCCTCGCTGCCTGGCATAAAGGGCAGATGCTTTGCCCCCCTGTTTAAACCTGACAGACTTAAAGTGAAAAAGAAGGAGCAGGGGTGCCAAGAAAGGCGGGACCTCATCCGAGCACTGTCTGTTTTAAGTCCTTGGGAATTGACACATTTGTCATAACAGTTTCTACCATACCAAAACCTACAACCACCATCTCTGCAGATGCCTCGCTGCCTGGCATAAAGGGCAGATGCTTTGCCCCCCTGTTTAAACCTGACAGACTTAAAGTGAAAAAGAAGGAGCAGGGGTGCCAAGAAAGGCGGGACCTCATCCGAGCACTGTCTGTTTTAAGTCCTTGGGAATTGACACATTTGTCATAACAGTTTCTACCATAGTTTCCTGCAACCCACTACATTTTTCAATGACAACATGATGAAGTTACATTTCAAAATAATGCAATTAGGAGAGGCAACCATTTAAGGGTATTCCAAATAGTATTTTCTAGTTACTTCTTGATAATTTATTAAATAACTTCAGTTACCCAAGGACATTTTTAGACTTTTATTTTTCACCTGAAAAGGAAACAAATAACATACATTATCACTAGTGTAAACGGTTACTCTTTTAAAAATACAACTTTAACAGAACAAGTACTCGCGGGGTTGTAAAACAAATTAAATACTTCCATTTTGAAAATAATCTCCCAAGCTCTGCTTTGCCTTTTGATACCAACCCAGGATTTTGCAGGAGGTGCCGAACTCAGCTCTCCTCCTGACTTTTCGGATGGTCCCCGTTTTTCCTATTCTAGTAACCAAAGATTTCCGCACCATCCGGCCTAAATCCAGCTGCTAGTCCCAGTTTGTGTAGATCCTTTCAATCCATTGAATCTGCCCGAGTGTTAAAACCACCCATTCAGCAGCTAATCCAACGGAGCTACAATACTTGAGGCTTTCAGTAGGATTTAGACCCACAGTAAGAGACTTCTCTCCAAAGGTAAATCAGGCTTGTTCTTCTCTCCATGGTTGGACCGGGAGCTGCCAGGGGGAGCCATCCTGCTTTTCTGTTTGCTTCCAGGGAATGATGCTCTGCACCAGTTGACATCCTCAGGAGACTACGAACTCCGGGTGGATCTCCGTGCTGGGAAGGAGTCCGTCTATGCCACATATCAGAGTTTCCGTGTAGACCCCCCAGCTGACTATTACCGCCTGCACCTGGGCAGTTACAATGGCACAGCAGGTGAGTTAGACTGAGCAGAGACCGACTTCTCTCTGTGTCTGGATGGGTCAGGTTAGACCTTAAAGGGAAACTAGCACTTGCAATTAGCTTGTTCTCTCTCCTACCTTGCGATATCCTCAGACTTTCATGCCTGAGCAATTAGACTTGCAAATAAAGGCTGTGCTTGGCTCCTGTTGACCAATCACAGAACAGAAGCCTAGTGAATGCAAGATGCAGAGGCGAGTCAAAACATGGACTATGGCAAAGGATTTTCACTTTTCCTAATGTGTGATTAGCTGGTTTTACCCCATATTTTAGAGAATTCAAAGTGGGGCACAGGTTCAAAGGAAAATTCATTCTCTGTTTTCACTCATTATTTGCTGTCCCCGCCTTCCTTTCACCTCTGCTAGGGGATGCATTCAGCTACCACTCGGGCAGTGTTTTCTCCACCCGAGACCGGGACCCCAACCGACTCATCATCCCCTGTGCTGTCTCGTACCGTGGAGCATGGTGGTACCGCAATTGCCACTACACAAACCTCAATGGGCTCTACGCAAATAATCGGGATCACCAGGTAACACCCCCCCAAAAAAAAAACCAGGGGAGAGAAGGGATGGGAGGAACAATGGCAAAAGCATTGGTGTCCTTTAAGAACAACTAGAACAAAAATGTGCTAAGAAATTCTGCATCTCTAAAATATGTTATTCATAGCAGTTCCCAGCCATACCCATTATGGATATTTATTTATTTGTCGTATTTATTTATTTATTTATTTGATTTGATTTGTACCCCGCCTATCTGGACTACCAGACCACTCTAGGCGGCTTATCCATACTGTTGCTCCCCCCGAGGATGAGTACAATGGCTATTGTCACTCATCCATAGCCCATGCCCCCATCAGTATATGCAGGAGGGGCCTTGTGGCACAGGGATTAAACTGCAGTACTGCAGTGAAGTCTCTGCTCATAACTTGAGTCTGATCCCAGGCTCAGATTTCCACACTGTCATCAAAGGCAAAAAGCACTTAAAGTAATCCAACTGGGATGTAGGTAAAGCATGTGTCACTCTAGCCTATCTAGATGTCTCAGATGATAGTGATGATGATGCGCCGCCAAGTCAATTCTGACTTCTGGTGACCTCTTTCAGGGTTTTCCAGGTAGAGAGTACTCAGAGGTGGTTTCCCATTCCATTCTTCTGGGGGGGGGGCACCTTACAAGCATTGCTGGCACAATGGTTTTAATTGTACAAAAGCATTCCTGGCGACCACCAAGATTCTGCTCTCTGAGAGCTTGGAAGAATCATTTTTCTTGAATCTCAGGCTTCCCCCAGTCTGACTTGGGAAGGTGTCGTATGAAAAAAGAACTCTTTCATCCCATGTCTTTCCAGGGGGACTTACAACAACCTGCCAGGGGCAATCAATCCATCCATATCCGCTTTCTCTAGGCATTGGCTTTTATCTGGGTGCCTGCTGGCTAGCCCAGTGGTTTAGGTCTTCAGCTGCCGAGCTGGAGGTTGGGAGTTCGATTCCCCGCATGTGCCTCTTGGGAGAAGAGCCAGCCTAGGTGGCTTTGGGCAAGCTGCACAGTCCCCTGGGCTCCCCCTAGAGGAAGGGAAGGGTAAACCGAGTACTCTGTACCTAGAAAACCCTGAAAGGGGTCTCCGTAAGTCAGAATGGACTTGACAGCACGTGATGATTCTTGTGCTGTTTCTAAAAGCTGGTATATCTCCTTGTTTCTCATCTACCTCCATCTTCTCTCCCTACCACCTTCTCTCTCTCTTTCCTAATCAAGGGTGTCAACTGGTTTAACTGGAAAGGATTTGAGTTTTCCATCCCTTTCACCGAGATGAAACTCCGGCCCCGTGGCTTCCAGCCTTTGCGGCGGGCGTGAGCAAGGGGAGGAAGTCGATGAATTGACTGAGGGGGAGAGCAGCAGCCAAGGAGGAGGAGGAGGAGGAGGAGAAGATCTACCCCTTGCTCTCCTCAATGGAACAAGTCACACCCCCTGCTTTAATGCCCCTTTTTCCATCCTGAGAAAGTAGGAGGAGGAAGCCAAACTGAGAAAGGCAGTGGACAAATGTTTTTTTTTTTAAAGCACCTTGTGTTACGACGATTATATTTCCTCTCCCTGATCCACCGCAAATTTTGTGGACCCAGAGCATCCGGAGGAGTCGAGGATGGTAGAAGAGAGCGAAAAGGATGGCATTATTTGAATCTGAATCATAGCCCCAGAGATCCAGTCTGTGACTCTTGTTTTCCTGGCGATCGGTTGAGAAGGGAATAAAAGGAGGCAGGTTGGCCAAAAATGGGCAGCTCCATCCCAGAAAGGGAACCACCCGCAAAACCTGACTAGGGCCTGGGCCGGTTTCTCCTTGCTTCTAGGCTAGCTATTGGGAAGATGATTCCACATCTCTCGAAGGGAAAGATTTTGGCCCAGGACTTCCTCCTGTACAGAGCTTGGCAAAGTTACTCCTTTGGAGTCCGGCTCCCAGAATATTCTAGCTGTTGGCGGGGGAGGTTCTGTGAATTGTAGTCCCCCAAAAAAGTAACTTTGTCAAGCTTTGATTAGCTCTTATTTTTCCAGCCAAAAGCTTTATGTCTTTCCCTTTCCATTTGGTTCACATTAATGCCACACCTTCTCCTCTTCCTCTCTTCTAATACTATTTGGAATGGAGATAAAAATCGTAAAGAGCCGCTGAATATAGGTTAAGATCAAAGCACTTTTAATTAATTTTGCTATTATTGTTTTGCTTTATTATTTTTCCCTCTCCTTTTGCCCTTCTTGGAAAACTTGTGAACTCAAAGCCACATTGGCTGCCTTCTGTGCCTCCTCCATGCAGAGCCTTTGGGGGAAGGGGTTGAAATCTCTCCCTCTCCTGAAAAGAGATGGTTGTAAAGAACAGAAAGAAACACAAGCAGGAATGAAGATGAAATTACCGAATGCGAGAGCTTAACCCAATGTATGGAGAGGGGGGGAACAGAGAATGAAAAGTTTAAAAGTGCCAAAAATTAATATAATGCAGTCACAGAAAATGAGCAAGGATGAAAGGATCATTGATAGAAAGGAGGGCTGCCCGGATTCTGTGTTCTCAAGGATCAACCTCTTTGATCTACCAGTGGTTCCAAAACTTGGGTCATCCAGATGTTCTTGGACCACAACTCCCAGCGATCTACCAGTGGTTCCAAAACTTGGGTCTCCAGATGTTCTTGGACTACAACTCCCAGAAATCCCAGCCAGCATAGCTAGTGGTGAAGGCTTCTGGGAGTTTTACTCTTAAGAACATCTGGAGAGCCAAGATTGGGAACCACTGATTCTATATCATGATCAGATCATTTGCTTTCCAGTGTGGCCATGGTCAATAATGATCCAGGCACAAATGGTCAACTGTAGCAATTCAGAGTGCACAGGCATGTGGAAACAGCTAAATCAGGCTTGTCCAACCCGCAGCCCGAGAGCCGCATGCGGCCCAGGTCAGCTCGTAATGCGGTCCAGTGCAATTTTTTTTTTAAAAAAAGAAATTCCAAAGTTTCAAGTTACACTGCCGGCGCTTGCGGCCGGAATGCGGCCAGGGCATGTCACAACAGTAGAGGGGGAGAGAGGGAAGGAAGGAAGGAGTG